TCCCTCACGATGATGACTTATTAATGTACATTTGGCCCTGATATAGACCTCGACCATATCCACAACGGCGGAAAAGAACTTGAAAGAAACACCTATCCAGATTACAGATGCGATGCAACATGCAAGGATAGATACCTACATAAACATACATAGGTGTCTATGTACAGCCCACCCACATTGAATAAGTGGCTAACCAGAGATTGAAGCACATCGGCGACCACCAAGGAGCCCAAGGAATCCGATTGAGGTGATCGTGCACCTTATTTGTGTGCGAGTGTGCAATGAGACATGTACTCCGTCACCCTTTCGTACCTAGTAGCTCGGCGGAGCAGCCCGTTCGGCAATCTATCCATGAGCGATGCTGGCGGGTACGATACCACGAAACAAAGGTATCGTGATGGATTAACCTCGCATACATATGAGCCTATGCTGCCGAAATCGCCAGGTAACCGACTGGGGTTTCATCCGCAGTGCGAACGCTTTCGTCCCATGGCTCTCCAGCGACGAGACTCATTTCACGGAGTGGCAAACAAAAAGAAAAGAAGAAAAAAAAAAAACTCTTTTGCAGGCCTTCCACCCACGGCGTACCAAACTTCCCCTTTCTAGGCCAGCCCTTCTCTCGGGAATTTTTAATTTTATGTTCCATCCAATCCCCACTTGATCGGCTTTGCAAGGATGGCGATGACATCTCGTTTACTGGATGCGGTAAACCTCTATTCAATCCCACTTCTCAATCCGTGCTCGTGCGTCTTTATGGTTGTGCGAGTTGCTACCTAGTGGGTGATTGGGCGGCCTCGAAGCAGCTAAGGAGGGGATTTCAAGTTAATCTCAACGACAAAAGCCGGAACGCAAGGAAGAAAAAAAAAAAGATGTGATCGTGGGCTCTCTCGACTCAATCCGGGTTTTCTTTCCCCTCTTCGGATGCGACTGCTCAACCCGGAGCAGTGAGCCATCTACGGCATGATGGCAATCTACTCGAATGCTTCGAGACTTGGAGGAGGACGGGATGAGGTTACCATGAGAAATTAGGTACTGGGTAGGTGGACAGGTAGGTAGGCCGTGAAGCTAGGTAGTAGTCCGAGCCTGTCATCGTTTCTTCAAAGCTCATGGCGTACGTAAGTAATACCTAACTACCCCCGTTCGTCTATCCATGCCAATGTATGCACTGTATCTACTATTAGTATGACAAGCTACCTACCCTTGAAGCCGGGCTTCGGCAAGATCCTGACCTGGCCGTTTTCTCTTGACTCCAGTGCTATATACCTGGTCATGTCTAGCAGGTACATGTGGGGATGTCCACTTTCTTCTGAGACTTCTATGTTCTTTATTATAGGTAGTTATGTATTGTATGTATTGTACCTATTACATGATAACACCTAACCTACACATAACTATGTATAGCATCAAATATAAGCACGTTGCTATATCAGTGTAACAGACGACTCGAACATAACCGTCCCACCGGGTTTCCCCCAAATCCGGACTCCCCAGGAACGGGCGTAACACTCCCGTTTCGAAGAACCCTTTCCCAAAAGAAGAATAATTAACTTCGTTTTTTTCTTGATTTTTTGTGCTTCGATTTTCCATGCTACGTACTAATAACTACTACCCAGATCACGCGGTGATGTTTTTCTTGGGGGGGATGGGTGATGGGTGATGGGTGATGGGTTTGGGGGTACATAGGTAACTAACCTTAGTTGGTTTGTCAGGGGTTCACCCAAATCCAGGTTTTCCTATTTCGGGTCTGACATTCTTTTTTGGGCTCTCTTGGAGATAGGGTTGCGCAGAGTTTAATTCAACTTGAATTATACGGGTATAATTCAAGTTTTATTCCGCACTTTAAAGTAAAATGCGGTGGGTCCGAAATTGAAAAGTGGGGATATACTTAAGTAGAAAAAAATATGCACCAAAATTTGGTGAGATTACATAATTTTACAGGTATCTCGTCATTCCTTAACGGTTGCGAATAACGTTTTTCTTTAATGGCGTATATAATGGATTGAGTAGTTAAACCGCTTTAATAAAAGCGGTAAATCCGTAAGAATTAAATGGAAGACCACTTATTAAAATGGCTTTGGCATTGGGCCTTAAGAGATTGACGATATGCCTTTTGAGAGATCTAGCTGAATTGTGTATATCCATAGAACAGTGTTTGCGAGTGAGTTTGGAAGAGTGCTATATACTAAGTGTATTAGGTTAGGGTGGTCACGTGCCCCACCTTGAGTATAATACTGAATTAAACGCATTTTACAGGGGTTATGAATTAAACGCGCACTTTACTTTATAATGCGCATTTTACGCAACCCTACTTGGAGACTTGGGGATTGGAAGGTTGTTTGATTAAGTTTTGATTAGTCGGACTCTGGTAAACGTTTAGCTGACAGGTCATCTCCTAACCTTGTCGCGATCAGATCTTAGCGGAATCGTGTTATATGGCTTGGCTAGCATGGGGTGGGAGGAGAGGCCGAGTTTGAGTGGGGGGGAGGGTTTGGTTTAAGGGAAGGGATGGGATGGGAAACACAATGCGGATGGGGCTTTGGGAGATCCACAAGCTATGGATTTGTAGGGAATATCGTGGGTTTAGTTAATGTTTTCTTCTTCTGCTGCTTCTATGGATTGGTCTTTCTACGGTTTACTATAGATGTAAGTACGTAAGTAAATACCAGTAGGTCGGCCGTTATCATATAACTATGTTATATTCTACCCCTATTACGTGTGCGGGCAAGTAGATACATAAATCAACTACCTAATATAAAAAGTGAAAAAAAAAAAGTAAGAACCTTTAACAACGAATAGCAACGCGGGGATGTGCATGCGTGCGTGCGGATATATTTGCTATATCACAAACGAACAGGAGGAACTTGCGCTTCATGCGCATGCACGTCCATCTTAATATCAATGTCTACTTACCTAAGGTTAGAACATATTAACCTAACTAACTACAGTCTTGTACACACCTACGTAATGTGTGTAGACATGTACATGGTGTATGTGTATGTGTGTTCGGCACTTGTCCGGAAAGTTCCGGATGGCGCCGCCGATCATCATCGCCCGTCCATTCGTGGCTGCTGCGGATGCTGCATGCGATGCCATGCATGTATGTAGTTAGGTATGTCTGTGGTGTATTAGTTAAGTCGTAGATACAATTTGTGTCTACCTTGAGGGCCTACCTCAGCTTACCTTAATAGGTACTGTATATACCTACTACTTAACTACCTATTCTATGTGTGTCTGAGGTAGGGCCACCTGGGTACTAGGTAAGCAAGTAGGTACGCGATACAGGTGACGGGAACGGGACGGATCGGATCTGCATCGATTCTTTTTTAGAAGTATGTTAGGTAGGTACCTAGGGACCTAGCATCTAATTATCTATCTACCTAGGTTAGTACGGAGGAGAGGTGGTTTGGGGGGCTATGAGACAAAACTATTTCGGTACCTTGCCTTGCCTTGCCTTGCCTATTTGCTTTTTCTATTCGGCTTCCGGATTAGATAGCCAGGCATTGTGTAGGAACGCAGGTGTATCTACAAGCTATTTGCTGCAGGACATTGGTAGGTAGATAGGTAGGTGTCCGTTCATCCGACGCCGATATCTGCGACGCTGTCTCGCCCAGATTCGGTGTTTGAAGCTGCGGTGTGACGGGGCGTGTAGGTAGGTAAGCGCGAGGTTGATGGACAATATGTACATACGTAAATTGCCTGGGCTTACTATGTCGTACAAGCAGTGCGTGTTTTTGTCTCTATTCATTCACTGCCGAGATAGAAGGCGAGCACATGTATCTACTGGGTGACAGAGCGAATATCGATTCTGGCCCCTGAATACTACTAACCGTGAACCCCAGAAGTTGTTGTAAGCCTTGTCCGAGCCCCTTACCTACCTGGGCACCTAGGTAGTTCTCTTGCGATATCGAGGCGAATATGTATTGGATATACATGAATACACACGTACATAGGTACTGGGCCTCCTTATGTAGAGAATGCACGCCTAAGTAGGGCTTACACATGATCTCCAGCGTCTTTTCTCGTTTCTATACTACCTACCTAGGCACATCCAATGAAGAGAATGAATCCTCGCATAAGATTGATGAGAACCGAGAGAATAATTCTTCAAGTTAGAATAATTTCTCCCAATTTCCATTGATTTTATGCATGGATTCATTGGATGAAGTTTAGAATGATTCTCCCGAATAAGGGGTTCCCGCTACGGTAGGCAGATGAAGTAGAATGCATATACGTAGTCCCTTCCCGATGAGTAACCTAGAGCCTCCTACTACCGCCATCAACCAGCCTTCCTACCTATACCTACCCCTACTCCCAAGAAAACAGAAGCCATCACCTCATCTCCCCATCTCCCCAAACCCCCTCGCCCCTCGCCTTAACCCCCTCAACTATGTGGCTGAGCAGCAACCATCACCCAATACCCTCAGACACCATCGCATGACTCCCACAGAGGAATAATCCACGGTACCTGCACACCAATAGTGATGACGATGACGACGACGACAGCAGCATCACTTAACCAATCTACCAGAAAAAGAATTAAGGAAGAATATCGGCCAACCGTAGGACGCGAAACCTGGGCTAAGGGGGCGCAAAACCTCCTTACATAGGTATCTATCGATCCATCGACCCAGACACGGACCCAGGAGTTGGGAGTTGGGAAGGCCGTAGATTATAACCATGACGTTTCTATTTCCCAGTCCACGGTACGCGATACTCTGGGCTGGGGCTGAGTACCTAGTACAATAGGTAGAATAGCTGCCTAACCTTAGGTAGGTAGATAGCTTTTTCATGAGGAAGTGGGGGGTGGATAGGATGTCAAAGCAACGAGCTATTGTAAATAGTCCCGAAGTCGGTAGATTATTGCAACGGCAATAGTTACCTAGCAATTAATAATATCGAAGCGTTAAGTAACTGCCTAAGTATGTTAGACATACGCATGCCTGCTTAGCGTACTATGTAGGTAAGTAAGGTGCTCAGGGCCTCACGTCTGTGCTATACATATGTCTGTGCCATCATATTCATGGGCCCCTTTCACCAATTCCCTGCGTCGTGACTCTCCCCGGGCGTATATTCGACCAATTGCTTCGTTGCATGTAGATACGATCCACCTTCATTCACGCTTAGTCTTGTCTTATCTTCGCCTCACCTTAAGCCATAAACCCGTGTCCGCGCAACGCCCGCTTTTCCTCCCCCTTCCACACTTCACTCACTCACTTCACCAATTCCATCTTCGCGCCCCTCTTCCCCGTAGCCTCGTCCTTAACATCCCGGATCCGAACGACGACCTTCTGAAACAGCTCCACCGCCACCTCCCGGCTGCCGCTAGTCTGGAGCCGGTACTTCTCGGCATCGAAGACGCTCTCGGGCTCGGGGTCCGCGAGGTCGCGGAGGCGGATGAGCCCCTCGATGCCGAAGCGGGGGACCAGGACGACGAAACCATTACTAAATATCTTCATGACGAACCCTTCCTCCTCGGCGACGCGGCCGCGCAGGGACTGGCCAACGTAGTAGGCGACGCTGGCGCGACCGGCGAGCTGGGCGTTGCGGTGGCGGACGTTGATGTTTTTGCAGACGGCCTCGAGACGGCCGCGCGAGCGCGTGGCCGGGTGCATGGGCTCGTAGTCGATGGCGGCGGCGAGCTGACGGTGGGCTACAAGATCGGCGTACCGGCGGATAGGACTGGTGAAATGTGTGTAGATCTCGGACGCGAGACCGTAATGCCGGAATTCGGGGTAGGCTTGCGTGCCTGCGCAGAAGTACTCGGCGCTCATCATGCACCGTGTTGCCATGATGCGTACCAGCGTGTTGAAGAAAGGCTCTGCTGGGTCCGCACACGCGTCCAGCGAGTCGGCTAAGGCTTTTGACGAGTCGAAGTGTAGTTCAAAGCCACGCTTTACCTTGAGTTGGTTGGCTAGTTCGTCGAAGTTGGTCTTGGGTGGGGAGCCGTGGCGACGGAGGATGGCGGTTTGGGGGAAGGCATCGTATATCTTGCCTGCTACGCTGATATTGGCGAGCAGCATGAACTCTTCTACAAGGGAGTTGGTGTCTAGCAGTGCCTTAGTCTTGACGTCGATCGGGTCGGAGGTTTCTGATTCCATCTCGACTTTCACTTCAGGGGACGAAAGACTCAAAGCTCCGGCATCAATTCGTTTCTGCTTCAACTTCTTTGATAGCATCATGAGGGTTCTCATCCCTTGGGTCAAGTCGTCTTGCTGCGAAGCATCGTCGATCCGTAGTTGTGCGTGTTCATAGCTGAAAGCTTCGCGAGATTTGATGACTGACTTGGTAAACCTCGCGTTGACAATATCAGCCGATTGATTGACCTCCCAAATGACAGAAAACGCATAACGCTCCACGTATGGTTTTAAAGAGCACAGGTCAGTTCCGAGAAGCATCGGCAACATGTCGATACGCTTATCCACCAGATAGACAGTCGTGCCTCGGATACTTGCTTCCATGTCCATGGCATTACTAGGCTTGACGAAATGCGATACATCAGCAATGTGAACGCCGACTTCGAAGTTTCCATTTGGTAGTGGCCTTGCGTGTAACGCGTCGTCGATATCCTGACAACCTGGGGGATCGATACTGCAAATAAGAAGGCCTCGCAGGTCTTCTCTATCTTTCCAACCAGGGTCATCCGTGCTGGCTGGAACTTTCCAATCATGGCCCTCCGTAGGGAGGCAGTCAAGTACTGTCTTCGGGAAAGGCCGGTACTGAACATCGTATTCGAGTAAGAGAGCTTCAGTCTCTGCGGCTTTGCTTTCTAGTTCTCCTAGAGATCTAACAAAGTGGCCGACAGGGTGTCGAGATTCACGATCCCAGGAATCCACTGTAACAAGGATTCGCTTCCCCAACAACTCCCCGGCCTGTCTAGTACGTATGCGAATTTTCGGTATCTTTTTGTCCATTGGGATCAAGAAAACGGTTTCTTGCTTTCTCCCTTGTTTACCGGACTGACTGGCTGATGAAGGGTCAATATGGCCAACGTATTGACGCCAATTTCGTTTGATGACTCCGACAACTTTCGCAGTAGGTTGTGGCCGTCCTTCCGTATTTAGACCTTGTGTCTTCTTAACTTGCTCCTGCAAAGCGCGCCTCTCCTGTTCGGTGACGAGATCATCCCCTTCTTCGTTGTCGGCATCCTCATTCTTCGTGATGGCCTCTTCCTCGAGAATTTTAGTAGAAGGCTCTTTCCATTGGTCCTGCGGAAGAACCTCCACAACCACTACATCTCCATCTACTGAACGGTTGATGTTTTCTCGCCCTAAAATGAGAAGAGGTTTGGGGAATGCGGGAACCTTGATGGAAGCTTCGAGATAGTTGTACGGCGAGACGTTGAAGACACCCTGGTGTAGAACGCCCCCTTTTATTCCAGTCATCATCTTGGATAGCGTATAGTGCTCTGGATACAAGAAGCCAACTTCCTTCCTGTCTCTGGAAATGCCGTGTTCCTGTGATTCGGGAATCATGTCAAGTAGTCGATCTGCGTCTTCGAGCCCCGAGACATAACCACGTAAAGTCATAGCGGGAATTCCCTCTTCCTTTGCCTTTCCGATATTGAGCTTGTCGTCGGTGAGCATGACTGTCACAGGTAACCGCTCGTTCTTGTCCTGGCCTAGATGTTGGTTGTACCACTTGACGGCTTGCCGTACGGCTCTATCGTTTCTATCATTGATAGTTTCATCTTGGTTTCGTGTGATGTGTGTCTCGAGTCTGAACTCGTTGAAGAAGACGTAGAAACGTTTGTCTTCGCTCTTGGTTAAGCCAATGAGGCGATTATATAGCGGTAAGGACCTGTTGCGTAACTCCTCTAGGACGGTCTGTAATATGACGACGTCATAGAATGCAGAGCTTTGCTCAAACAAGTCCATAGCATTAAGCAAGGCATTGGTGTCTGGGACTAGATAATGGCCTTGAGGGTACGTCTTGGTACCCGCAGGCTTGTCCGAAAGGACAAACGGGAGTGCTATGTTGATATTAGTTATGACGGCCTCAGGTAGTAGATATTGGCACTTACCCTCCCCCCGTGCATTCCTCGGGGCCGTGGCTAGACACTTGGAGCATAGCCTAGAGGAGCAAGGAGGATATTGTTGTAAATAGACCTCTCGCACAATCTTTTGGACCTTTCCGCTCTTCGTGGATCTCACATATATCTTGTTGGTGATATTTCGAGAAGAGGGATCAGAACCCTGGCTTCTCTTGAGACTCGTCATGACTTGAGTTATTTTGTTGAATTTATCTGGTAATTCATGGATGCTTGAGGACGACTTGACGTTGCTATAGTATGATATGAATAATCTGATATGCCCAATGGCGATGAATGGATGATGAATAATACCAAATAATACCAAATAAACGTGATGACGCTAAAAAGATCAAATCAGTTGAAATCACCACTGGGCGAGCATTACTAGGTACATCTTATCGATAGGCTTTATCAATCACTATCAATGCACTGACCAGTTTAGATCTACCTAACCTAACCTAGTAGGCTAGTACCCATACCTAGGGTCTGCTAGGGTATGCTACGGATCCATAACTTAAATGTTAGATAATCACCCCAACTAACGCTATTAGTCATTTAATAGTATGATGTATCGCGACTTTGGAACTTCCACTTCTTCCCTTCTTCCCCTTCTTCCCCTTCTTCCACTTCAGCATCCACCTTGATGTATGTACATCATCCATGTCTCAATATATCTACCTAGGTTGGTAGCTGTGTGCGGATCTCTCAACATCCACTGCTCATCACTGCTCATCCACTGCTACATAAACACCAGTGACACTGATGGCAGTTATGGAATATTGGTTTGTGATACCACCATCTGAACCTCTACTACCTACTACTACTGCTGCTACTGCTACCGAACCGTAAAACAAAAGAACCCTCCAAAAGCCAAGAATCTTTATAGAAATTAAATGTCAAGCAACTACACCTGGTTACTCACCACCCTCCCCCATCATCACCATAGTTGCCTTGGTAGTTAATGTCAGTCTGTCCTGGTACAATGTCTACCTATCTAACCTACCTACATTGCCAATGGGGGGACGCGAGGCGAGTTACGGATCTATATTAAATCTGACTCATATGATCGACCGCATTCAGCCGGCATATTTTTCCCGCGCCGCCTCTGCGTCTTCCTATTGGTCATATACCTCATCCCTCCCTCCCCTTCCCCCCCTTCCCCCCCTTATATGCACCAATACGTCTCAGGATCGTCGTTGGCCACGAAATGCAACATGTACGTACATACATACGCGAACCTCCTTCAACTGCTTTAAATTTAGCAATTTTAGGTGTGGAGGCGGCGCGGCTCTGGGGAGAGAGGATATCTGTGTGTCCGTGTGTTTTTTTGCCTTCAAGACATGTATCATGATAGCATGCTGGGTAGGTAAGTAGATGTTGACTGATTCACGGGGTCCTAGCAACGCCGGTGAAGGTCGACTATACGCTTTTAGGAGCCCTCCGTGGCGGCGATGATAATGCGATGGGGCTCTCCTATACGAACATACGTGCGTACTTATCTATTTGCCTACTAGATACCTACCTACGGAAAACTCTGCCAGGCATGTGAAGAACTGAACACATATCCAGGCGCCTATCTAATCTAACCTGCCTATACTTACATGGTTGGTGGCGAGAGAAGTGATACATTATCATGTCATGTCAGTCATAGCAGGCATCCGCGTCTCAACACGAGTCCCCCCATCACGGTCGTGATGCGAGGTGGCGACGAAGGTACTGGGTAAGGATAAGGCTAAGGGGGGTCGTAGGTCGTCGGCTAACCCACGAGCCTCCTAAAAAGCAAAAAAAAAGGGAGAAAACCCTAACCTACCTACAGCTACCTATACCTGCCTGGTTCCATGGAACAAACAAAAGGACAAACAAACTCAAAAGCGCAGTACGCAGAGGTAGTGTTACTCTTGAGGGTGTAGCGGGTTCGATCCCGCCGTGAGCTAGGAATGGTTGACTGCATCTACCTGGAGAGGTGTCAGCTTCATATGGGGAACACGCCATTGTTCTGCCGGATATCTATGGACACGGGCGCTATCGATGCCTTGAGCAGGAATTATCATCATCATCAACAACATCATCTGTTGTTATTGTTGTGGCTGTGGTCAAGCACGGCTGGTGACCCTCACGGCAGTGGTACCGCAACGCGTGGGGGGTTACGTATGTACGTCTAAGGACGCCCGGCAGGTTGTCGAGGCGCCCCGTATCGACCTACTTAATCTGAAGTATAGCCTTAGAGTAGTACGTAGTAAGAAAGACGTCACTTCCGAAATGTCTCTCCTCATGAAGGGTTACCTCGAGAAACAATATCGGCAGACGTGCCTCTCTGTCTCTCTTTTTCTCTCTCGATTTAAACATGAAACATTACCATCAGCCACTGCTTCCCCATCACCCCCATCTTCGTCCCATCCTATCCCCCCAATAGAGGAAAAAAACCAGACGAGGAAAATTAAGGGAACGAACTCTGAGTGGTCAGCCTCTAGGGAACTTCTCCGAATGCTGTAACACACACACACACACACACACACACACGCCCACCCACATCTTGTGGGTGAGGCGTTCACTAATACTCGGATCACGCTTTTGGTTTCACCGATTTAAACGACTAGCTCTTCGGAACTCCTCACGATGATTCGGTCGCGGGTTGAAAGGGTGAGGGTTGACAAAGATTGGGTTTGAGATCTCCTTTCCCTGAGAAGATCAAGGAGAAGACAGATGTCCTTTACCTCTCCTCTCTGCTTTAGGTTGGATGGGGGGGGGGACACGGATCACTGCCTACACTTCCTACCTACACTAGGCACCTATTACCTACGTTATACATGAGTACCAGGGAGGGAGGCATAGAGGTAGACAGCTACAGCTAGACAGGCAGGTAGGTTAGGTTAGGGTTAGGTTACAGTAACTCAACTTCCTTCGTGCGTAGGTAGGCCATGTAGCTCTAAGTGGCTTTGGCGTGAGCATACATACATACATACATACATACATACATACATACATACCCATAGGATGGCTTCACAAAAAGCAGCCCTGGCATGTGGGCTAGCGGCAAGCCTCCCATGGCCACAGCTTTCCAGTCCTCCCCTGCTCCCCTTCTCCCGGCCTCGGCAATAGCGCTACGGTATAACTATGGGCGTTTTTTTCTTGGTTTTCAGAGACAGAAGAAGAATCCTAGGCGACGTTACGTCATTTGAGGGTTGGGAATAAGGGGTCCCGCCGCTCTCACGACTCACGAGAAGTCCTAACCTAACGCCCCTTCCGCCGGCTTTGCCTCCCGCCGGCATTGCTTCCGCCGGATTTTGCTTCCGAGACAGCAGGAGTTACTATTAAGCAGTAGTTGGATTAAGGTAGTAGGTTAAGGCATTGATATGATATGATAAGATGAGATGAGATGAGATGAAAAGGCATATATGATTCATGCCTTGACGATAAAACAAGCAGGCACATCATACATGGGGTTTATGGTCTGGTCTGGTCTGGTGGATAGCATGGGACTATGTAAGTAAGCCAGACCGAAGTCGTGATTTTGCAGGGACAGGGACGGGGACGGGACGGGGTGCACCATATAGCACCTGTAATACCTATAGCAGAGAGCAAGATAGGTATTATAGGTAGATAGGGTTAGGGTAGGTAGGTGGGACTGTCCATGGAGGATGCGCTGCGCTGCGCTACGCTGCGCTGCCTGCAAGAGCGGGTAAACAGGGATCTGTGGATCTCCCGCTCTGTCATGCCATGCAGAAGCAACGGACAAGCAACAATATCCCTAGCAGTAGGTAGTTAATAGGATAGGATATAATAGATGACCTAGAAGTCGTTGGGCATTCCCCAGTGGGTCGCCAGGTTTTGATCAGACGAAAGAAAAGGGGGAGAACAAAAAAAAAAAAAACCATGCCTCCCCCCTCCCCCCCCCAGACAGATCGTGGAGTGCACTCCTTGGAACGAATCTGCCGAGGGGATGGGATGGGATGGGTGGACAGGACAGGCCCTCCCTCGCCCTCCCATGGGTGGTGACATTGCCGCGTACCTAGTGCTATGTAGGTACCTACATACCTACCCATACCTAGTAGGTACTATGTAGGCATGATGTGTAGGGTAGGCAAGGCAAGTAATTAGATGTAGGGTTATAATATCTTCTAATTCTTTTATTTTTGGTAACGGGATGGATTGTTCTTGCATGAGCTTGTGTGCGTGTGGTGACCCCTAAAACCTAATGACAGACAGGAAACATGGAACATGGAACATGGACATGGACATGGAGAGATGTCAAAAGGAGGCTTGCGTGCGTGCGCCCGAGCACCCTCCCCCAGCCTGCCTTCTTCCTCTCCCCCGGGTCCTGATGTATGTTTCTTGATGTTCGTCTGACCTCTTTGAGAGGAAGAGAGAGAGAGAGAGAGAGAGGAACCTTCTGGCTTCGGTTGGTTCGGACGATTTAGAGGCGTGGGTGTGGGGTCAGCGCAAGCCACATACACACCTACGTACTTACATGCATACATACGCACATACATACGAGATACATAGATGTAGTTATAGATGGATACCTAGATAGATAGATAGATGGATAGAGGGGTAGATGGATACCTAGATAAGAGGCTAGGGGGGAGGAGACGCGAGAGGAGACGCGACGATACGGCGAATGATATCCCACTCACTCCAGCTACTGTAACTAACTATCCTGCCAACTCTGCTAACTATCCATGTACGCGAAAATGTGGCGGGTGAGAAGGTGGCACTACTAAGAACCTCATACACACACGAGAACTTCAGTAGTTATTGTCTAGACACTAAACCAACATTGAAACATTAAAACCCTGGTAAGCTTAGGTATGAGCCCAGTAGGTCGATGGCAGTATTAAGGAAGGAGATATGAGCAAGGGTTGATACCTTGGCACAGATGGATCCAAGGATGGGATCGAAGGCGTGTATGTGTGTGTGTGGGCATGGGCCATGGGCGGCTTGGGCGGTTGCATTTAAGGTAGAGTGGAGACTTGGACTGGCGCCAAGAAGGATCATGATTTGCAGATGGGGTCTGTGGGTTCCGACTCCAGCTTCGAACTTCAGATGTCAGCTGGTTGGCCCGCCGGGACTTCATCTCATAGCTTCGACCAATGATCACCAGTGGGGCCCTTCGCTACACCATAGTATGATGTACATACATGTACATCCTATGTATGTACATAGAGTCACTCCTAAGGGGGGGGAGTTAAGAGCTTAATCCTCATGGCTCATCGAACCCCCCTAGTTCGGTACTCCTCCTTGTACCGCGTCCCTCTCCTCCCTCTCCTCCCTCCCCTCCCCCTCTACACACTACTCCTTCATCGAGTTTCTTAGCTCCACACCATCTTGCTCGTCTAGCATTTAACTATAATCTCCCCCATATACCCATCTAGACCTCTATAGCATTATAACATGTTCTATATTCCCACGGGGAACAAGGATCCCCACCGGTCACATGAAGCTCTATAGA